ATTTCTTATTTGGAATAGACGCATGGATACAAAATATTTATCATTTATAATATGTGACTCAATAAGGTACACATTTTTACTGGATATTGTGTATTTCTTTATGAATTATTGTCAATAAGGATGAACGATCTATTGTTTTGGACCAAAAATCTCGATCTCAGCCAACATGCTTTTGGGAGTGTCAAAGTTTTTTAAGGGCGAAGTTTAGTTCTGCGTCGACTCAGTGCACACTGCTGCCGTCACCTTGTCGCTGTCGTTTTTGATTTATGGATCTGCGCCGAGGTCTATGCGCTGCAAAGTAATTCACCACCACAGCACTAGGAGTTTAACATGAACTATCTCCAACATAATAGAAGCACAGAACAAACTCACCATCATCAGCACATCCTCTGTCACAGAAAGCACACATATAATCCATCATTAACTCCATCCAGTCGTGTCCTTTAGTCCGACAGAATCTGACTGCATCAGCAACACAAGGAGCAAGCAGTTTTTTTCAGCACTATAGTTTATCGCAAATGAGCCATGTGGTTTTAAGTTTTGTTTCTGTATAACGTAAACAAATATGCACAAAGCTGCATAAAACACATTATTGCTCAATGTATATTGAAAGAAAGGAAAGCGGAGTACAGGATATGTTTGTAGAGAAGGTGTGGAGAGAAGGACCAACCACAGCCCTTTCAGCGTCCAGCGTCAAATCGTCAGTGCAGGACTCTGGTATGATGTAAGTTCCTGTGATGTTTACAAATGTTCATGTGCACTGAAACTTGATTTGAAAAAAATCGTGGATGAAATCAAAATCTCAATATCTGACAGAAAAATCAATTCAATTTTTTTATTTTTTTATATCGTTAAGTCAGTAAATGCAGATGCTACTCCAAATTATAATTAATGCAATTTTCCACCTAATGTAATGTAATGTAAACCATATTGGGGGCCACTGGTATCACATTCCTTACAGTACCATATAAATATATCTTAAATGATTTTTCAGAGACGAAAATGTAGAAGTAGCCAACGCTAGTGTTTCTCAAACTGTGGTACGTGAGCTTCTTCAGGTGGTACTTGGAGAGCTCTTCAGTTTGTGGGTTTGCCTATTAGAGTTCATTTATCCACTTTTTGTCCTCCTTTGGATAGTTTCTTGTTTAGAACTACAGTGGAGATGATATAGACCTGGTTTAGTCCGATATTAGACCCGGACTAGTCCTGTTATAGACCTGTTTTAGATCTGGTGAGAACATGGAAAGCCAAATTTTCTCCAAACTTGGTGTGAATAGTTTGAGAGTCAATGGATGCAATAGCAGATTCAAAGCGGGTGCAATACACTGGCCATAGTGGGAATTGAAGCACCAATTTTCAGGTTAGTGGGCAAAACTTTCTAATGACTATAACAACCAAGTACAATAAAAATGTCTTACTTTTTACTGAAAAAGATACAAGATGATAGAACAGACAGAAAATCTTCCAAAAACTAGCAGAAATACCATTATAATGCAAATTTTGATGTATTCTTTATTCTTGCAATGTGTAATTTTAATGTTAATATGCAAATTCATAAGATCCAATGCATTGCTTGTTGGGGTTACCATGGCGATCACATATAAACCACACTACACCTGAAGTTTCATTATCTGAAACTGATTTGATCCATAAAAACACACTGGGTTTACTTTACAACTATAACTGCCCATTGACTTTGGACTTGAGCCCAGGAGGTGACAGATAACAGCCCTCTCATAAAAACTCCACTGAATATAGAACAGCACTGAGGGGAAAAATAGCCAAGGATGTCCCCAAAAATAGGCATATTTGCAGAGAGGGAAAAAAATGGGCAAGGGGGAGGGGGCAGAGGGGGGCAAGGGTGTAATTTAACAAGCCTGTGAGCGGGCTGGGACAGGTTAACTGGCATTCCTATCTGGGACTGGGAGCGCGGTAGTCAGGTGGAGGTGCCCCGAGCCCACCTACATTCTTTAGTACAAAAGTAAGAGCACTGCCGCTGACTCCCCTCCCCCCGGAACACAAGAGGCGCTGGGTGATAGGGAGGAAGAAGAGGTTCAATAGATAGAGACGGCTTAGAATGCACCAGCGGGGGTATTAGTAAGTGTAATCTAAAAAATCTGAGAAGTGTATGGCGTGAGTTGAAAGTGAAATTGACCCTGCAGGGCTACAATATGCAGGTTCAAATATGGAAAAGGTTCAAAAATGCTGAACAAGGCCACAGGGGATCATTTTCTCTCTCACTTGTCATCATTCATAATAGTTAACGATGTACTACGAAACTTTTCTGGTGGAGTGTGCGCGACCTGCTTGCCTCCAGAAAGATGCCATTGTTATTTACTAGGGATGTAACGATATCCAAATCTCACAGTACAATATTATCACGGTATGCATCTCACGGTACGATATTTATTGCGATATTTTGAAGAGGCTGATATAATTGTAGATGGGACACTTTTTTGCTTTTAAAATACCTTGACAAGATTTTGGTGTAAATTATTTCCATCATAACTCCAAGAATTCAAGTAAAAAACATATTTCTTCATGTTGTCTGCACTGAAATGAATCATGAGATATGTAGTTTTTGAAGTTCATAAGCTGTTGCTACTATAAAACCATGCAGTTAAGCAAAGGAACTTGTGATATATCGATATATTGTGACAGTCCACAATATTATTGTGAGACTTTTGATGACACGATATCACAAAATTATGGTTATTGTTACATCCCTATCATTTACCTGTCACATTTTGCATTAAACTTATCTATCTCTCTGAAGACAAGCAGGTGACGCCACTAGGCCAAATTACAGTTCAGATCTGTGGAGAGGTGAGCCTGCTTACAGTATAAATATTTGTTTTTTAATGTATTTTCTAGCAATAAAAACACCTATAAATTAATAAATGTAGGATAAATATGTTTAGTGTAATATTATAACTATTATAATTATAATTCCAAGCAAAGCAATAACATCTTTACGGAGATAAGCAGGTAGCAAACCCCCCCCTAAACAAGAAAAGTTATATAGAGCACCATTAACTTCAATATCATCGATCAGATTTGGCAATAAAGCAATGACTAATGGCCAAGGCTATGCAATGACTAAATCAAGATAAACCAAGGCTAAACCAGGGCTAAAAGAAAAAGCTAACCAGCTGTAAAATAAAAATAAGGTTAAAGAAAATTAGGAATTTAGGATTAAACTAAAAGGTATTAGCTTTTAGTTAAAACTGAAGACTTTCTAAGATAACCTCCTTACAACTTCAGAACAAAAACAGAAATAACTTGTGCAGGTGTATTTGTCTAGTCTACAGTTTTCCCATATTGTTGTGTAAAGACGGTTCATTCATCGTTTCATTGGTGCCACAAGGTAAACAAGCCCATAAAAGCTTTACTGGCTCCTTCATTCACAAAAGCAGCCAAGATGGAGGGATGAAGACAGAGAGAGAGAAGAGAGAGGGACTAACAGAGAGAGAGAAAGAGAGAGAGAGGGAGGGTGGACAGAAATACTCTTTAATGGGGCACAAGGGTCTGGACAAAAAGCCACTCGACCAGAGGAGGACCACTAAACACATGTATTCAAGAGCTGCACAAGAGCTACATACAGAGACAAAGAAGTTCAGCTGCGGGCAAGTGTGTACTGAAGCTGTACAGTCTGTTCATTAACGTTTGTCTGCTACTGATGTATTCAAAAAGAAGTGTATTTTAATTAAATATATCAACCAATAAGAAAAACAGTGATTTGTTAATAACTGAAATTTGTTTAGAAGGTGACAACAATTTATACAATAGGACCATTGCAATAGCGATTAACAAAGTAAAACAAGAATATTCCTCAAAATGTTGCATATAACAGGTTGAAACTCATGATTAGACACCATTGTGAGGATTCACCATTCAACAGATTAAATATTTTTGTTTTGAATTGTTAATTGCTATGGCAACGGTGCTCATTTTTTATCACTCTGAAGTCAGTTTGCAACTACAGATTCTTGAACCATCATCAATTGCTACGTTCAGACTGCAGCCTCAAGTGACCCAAATCCGATTTTTTCGCCCCTGTACGACCTTTATCTGATCTTTTAATGACAAACGACACAGATTAGATTTTTTCAAATGCGACCCAGGCCACTTGGATATGTGCTCCTAAAACTGATACATATCCGATCTTTTGACATGCGACTTCAGTCTGAACGGTCAGGTCACATTCATCTGACGAGTGGTACAAGTAGGTGTTCACAAATGTACACAAATGTTCTTCTCATAAAATTGTGTCTAAACTCTGTGTCAGTGAAGCAGCGAAGCACATATCAATCCCACCACTCTTGGCGGCGACTCTGCACCCACACGTTCCTTTCTACGGATGTTGCTGCCGCTGCCCCACAAAACGCCACGGCCAAAAACCTCGGCCTTCTCCTTCTCAATATCCTCCTAAAAACAAATAAGCTGTACACGTTCTGTCTCCGGTACGACAGCAACTTTAAAATCTCCAGGCGCTCGATCCTAGTGTCCATGTTTAGGCGACTTCCGTAAACACTGAGCGTGTTCGCTGTGTGTGATGTCATCATGTGCTCCAGTGTGTGTGCGGGACACTTTTGGGGTGTTTAAAGTTCACACTGCAGATCACACACAAGGCGCATTTAATTGGAAATGTGAACGACCTTGCAGAAGAATCCAATTTCACAAAAAAATCTGAATTAAGCATTAAGCCCTGCAGTGTGAACGTAGCCAATAATACAATTAGACTAACGCAGACAAGATAAGATGGCAAGATGAAGTAAATAAAGTGTTTTGCTCAACAGCACAACAGCAATCACAAAATGTTGAATATGATGCTAAAATATAACCAATACAGAAGAGCTAAAGAACCTGATCGGACTACAAAATATTAACAGTTTTTAAGCACTTTTTAATCTTCAAAACATGCCCCGAACAGTAACATTTCTGTTCCAAAATCCACCCACGCGTCTGCTGCATATTTTGGGCTTTGTGTGGACTGGTACCTGTCCGAGGTCCAGGGTGACGTTGACTTCGTTGAACTCGGTGTTTCTGGAGAGGGGAGGGCTCTGCCACCATCGCTCCGTCCCGTCGATGGCGTTGGTGATGGGGTGGGCGCGGTCAGTGTCCCCCGGGCTGCAGATGTCACAGTACTGACCCTGGAGAAGAGGAGGTAGACAAGAGGAGATAAGTTAAAGAAGATTTACTAAATGATTTTGTGAATACATTAGGATATTATTTTTTACATAACTTTAAATAATATCTTGAATATCTAAGACAGAAACATTTATCTCAATTGCAATTTGAATAGTTGTAATTGGTAAAACACAAATCACATAAAAAAGTTACACTGTGAAACTTTTCTGGTAGAAAGTATGGCTTAAAGTAATCTATATTCTCCATGGAGACAAGTAGGTGTTACAACCAGTCCAAGAAACAGTCAAGATCTGTGGAGAGGTGACCCTACTCACACTAAGACCCCGTTTACACTGAAACAAATCCACGTATCTCCGTATCACCGTATTGGAAACGATCTGCGTCCACACAAGTCGTTTCTGTGTCCACAATCCTTCCTTATCCACAGAACTTTGAGCATATTTGTTTACATTTTACACAAACGAAACTTAAAACTGCATGGCTAATTTGCATAAACTGAGCACTCAAAAACCGGCTCGAACACTGCATCCGCAACAAAAACGATTCGAATACGTACTAGTGTGGACGGGGCCTAAGAATGCATGTTTTGGAGCAATAAATCACATCTGATATAATAAGATAAATAGTTTTGTTAAATTTTTTGCCATACTGTGAAAGATTCCAGCCAAATAATAATAACAGCTCCATGGGGGCAGGGGATCCTACAGTAGAAAAGTTACATAATGCACCTTATTTACTTTTAATTTGGTATTTAGTGTTAAGATGAAGTTTGAAATAACAAAATAAGCAATGTGGCTCTTGTCTTCATGACCCTATAAGACAAACACGGAGGAGCTTTTCATGGTTAAAGTTTCACACATAGAAGATTTTACACTGGTCTTCTCAGAAGACAACCTCACAAACAAGTTTCATACAATATTTTGAGTAAAATTACATCTAACTGTATGATTTTTAACTTGTGAGGTCTAAGCACTCAAAATAACCAGACATTTCACACGTTATACATTCGTCCACCTGCACCAACACGTGTGCTTAATAATGGACAGGACTGGGACGTCATACATGTCTGTGAACCATGTTTATACAAGCCAGTCTGACTGATAGGACATTTCAAAATCACACAACCATATAATCTTATAATTATGGATAATATACTGTAGAGTCTGTCTGCAGTGATTCATGTGTGCAATGGTGTTTTGTTTAAGGATGCAAAATAAGTAGTGTAGGCAGGAAACATGAAGAATTGTCTTGTTTTGAATAGTTTTGTTACAGACTTTGTCCTAGTTGTGTATTTCTGTCAGGATTGATGCCTGCTTAAAGGTTATAAATTACACAAAATTGACTCTTGTGAGCTTTAAACCGTGTTAGAATGTTAGAAATATCTCATCAAAAACATACCTGGAGTTGTGTTTTGATTCATTCACACATGTTTGAGTAATTCAGGATTATTACATTGTTGGCTCAAAATGCTCTGTTCATGTCATGTAGTGGTAGTTTTCAAGTTAACAGCTCCTTTTACCTTTTGTTCAGTGGAGATTGGCATTTCCAGGGCTGAAATATTTCTAATGATTCTAGTGAAGGTGTAAGGAGTTTAAAAAACACACTGGAGTCCTTCCCATATTACCGCTGACATCACAAGGTGGAACAGAGTGTTTCCTGTTTGAGTGGCCTAAATATGCAGGGTTTGTTTGCAGGGATGTAACAATAACCGAAATATCGTGATATTGTATCGTCAAAATCCTCACAATAATATCATGGACCATCAAAATATATCGAATTACAAGTCTCTTTGCTTAAATTAAGAATTATGGTGCAGCAATAGCTAAAAAAAAAGCCAGAGGGAATGACATAGACCATGATCCTTTGCTCCATTTCAGTGTAGACTACATGAAGAAATAAGTTCTAAGCACTTTTAAGTTTTTGGATTAAGTCTTGTCAAGGCATTTTAAGAGGGAAAAAGTAGCATATTAACAGTTTTGCTGCCTCCACAGAATTTCGCAATAAATATCCTGTGACGATATTGTATTGTGAGACTTGGATATTGTTAAACCCCCTATTTGTTTGTTAAACGTGTGAATGAAACAAAACAGAACTCCTGGTATGTTTTTTGATGAGGAAACAACATTACATTACAGATTTTTTTTAAAAGCGCAATACATCCCTTTTAAATGATTATCTAGTTTCGATTGCTTTTAGTATGAGTATCTGGGTATCGATTTTTTGACACTCCTAGTGGTGAGGTGAGAGTGCTGCCCTGGTTTGACCCCAGTTTGGTTCTGATAGACTTGGTTGGGTCTTGTTCTAGTCCTGGTCTAGATTTAGTCCCGAGTTTAGTCCATGTTTAGTCCTAATTTCTGTCTACAAACTTAAACTCAGCTACCATCTTGCAACTACTGCCCTTTCTCATACAATTTTTACGACTATTATAACAATACTACAAATCATAACTCATTATTAACGTCATTCAAATCTGCTTAACCTAAACCTACTCTGAGCTGTAATAAGCGGCTACTTAAAAACAGATTTCTCCCACAACAGTTTGTCCCCGAAGCTAAGGCTCGACTCGAGTTTCTCATTTTTAGACAGAAATATGATCCAGTGCAGGTCACTGGAGCACTGTCTACTGTCACCATTTAACGTGACAGGCACAAAGCGCAGTGTTAGTGAGAGACACAATAGTCTAATAATGAACAGGAGCAGCGAGTCTGTCGTCACGGGGTAATCGCAGAGTGTGAGGTAGGCTTGTAGTAGCTAGTAGTAGTCTGTTGATGGAATTTTTAATTGTAATGGAACGAAAAATAACACGTGTAGTTCAAGTTGATACTACTTTATTGTGTAGTAGTTTCCATACCTGTACGCGACTAAAAATAGGAATTATAAGATCAATATTGAGTTTAAAAGGACAGATCTGATTACCTGGCCAGCAAGACTGTATTTAAGGGTTCACAAATCCACCAGAAATATAGACTAAAACTACCACTACATGACAACACAAGGTGGAGTAGAGCATTTTGAGCTTTGGAGATGCAAACTAATAAATCAGGTTTACTCAATCGTCACGAGTGAATGAAACAAAGCACAACCCCGGGTGTGTTTTTGACCGACACATGGACTATTTTAGCAGAAATACGGGCTATTTTGTTTGTCTTTGTGCATTTGAGAACAGAAAAGAAGTTTGTGCTTTTCTCTTAACTGGATTTAACAAAAGTTGGATTCCTCAGCTTGTTCTCACTTTCAGCTTAGTCGGTCTAGTTTGATGTGTAGAGCACAATTAAACAGTCTGGCTGGTTCTAGGTTATGTACTTGAGTCAAATATTGGGCTTATGCTTTTTATTACCTTCAAAACCCCACTTGATCCTATGAACAATATATCACCCACGTGTACCTCAGGCCCAAACAGCAGTAGTACAAGTGGTGGCAGATTCAAGTCTGAACTGTCCTGTTACCCGGAGTCAAATTACAGAGCCTTAATTGTTTGGCTTGACTAAATGGGGCCTAATTTATCTCCTCTTTCCCCATTTGTCCCGGTGGCTTATGGGTAATCCACGTGTCGATCTGCTCTCTGATCTGTGCTCGAAGTGTCAAAGTAAACTAAACATGTCCAGGCCTGAACACAAGCCGGGGTGATGACCTGTTATCACTGAGGGGTCAGAGGTCAGTGCTATCCGCCAGCTAACTCTCTGCCCCTAAACATATTTAAGACCTGACTATTAGGAGATGCGTTTAAACTGATACGCCTTTCTTTCTCTTTTCATTCATAAATCATCAATGATCAGCGTAGGGCGGTTTAACTGAGAGGTCTGTAGTTCTGCCAATAAAGGCTTGCGGTTTGGAGCAGAGTTCAGAATAAATGTAACTATTTTTAGTGTTAAATGGTTTGTTTATATTAAAGAAATTAAGATTGAAAGCCATATAAAAGTATTTTTAACTGGAAAAAGATGAATCAAATTACAAATGGTCATCAATCAATATGATAAAAAGCAACATATTTCATTTTTGCCATATCACCCAGCTTGGTTTCTTTTTGAGATGTTTTTAAAGTCCACACACTTTTACCAGACTCTCAACTATAAAGCTATTGTTTTTACTCTTTTTTGCAGTTTGCCACAATATGTAGACTAATATGGTTGTCAAAAGTATCAAAAATCAGTCAAAAATCATACTAATCGATCGTAAAACTAGTATTAAAATTAAATACTAATTTGAGCAGGTATCGATATTAAAAAAAGTCTTATTCACGGGACAGAAACTAACCTTTCCTGAATAACCTTAGAATGATCTTGAGCTGTAAGAGAACAAATATAAGAGCACATAGACTAGTATACGCGCATGGACAACTATGGAACCCACCTGGACCACTGAGGAATTACACAGATATAAGACCACATGGCAAAGTTTGAAATTTTATTATTGTGACGACACTAATATGTAACAAAATCATAAAAATGGGATAAAAATGGCTAATCACAAGTAACAATTCTAACATCTGACAAAGTGTGATAATAAAATATACTGACTATATGAACTCAGAGCTGTCCTTATTCCTGAAGTCAGATCTGCAGTGGAATCTGAGGAAACTCAGTTGTGAGTATCTTTGCCTGCACTTTGAAAGGAAATCTGTCTCTGTAGAATCCATGTCCTCGGGCTACAGCTAAAGTGTCTTCAGCCCTGACACTTTCACCTAACTCAAACTCTACCTGTCTCACCTGCTTTCCACTATTACTGAGCACATTTTCTACGTGAACTTTTATATGTGGAGAGCTGACAGAAGACAAAGCTCAGCATTGTACCTGATTTATACAGTCTTAAAAACAGGAAAAACAGAACTAGTTAAGTTTAAACACAACCACATAAACCACATGTTTAGACCCAGTTCTTTTCAAACAGAAAACACAAGTGCTCCACTGTGTTTTTAAAATCCATTCACCTTCACGAGAATGATTTGGATGATTTCAGTCCTGGATTTATTGGATAAACTAAATGTAAATGGTATGTCACTGCA